GTAAACTGCCCACAGAAGCACTGAAAGCATGCCCTGCTATACACACAAACCCCTCAGCAAAAGCTGGGACATACTGGGTCAAGGCATTTAAGGATATCTCTCTCCAGTCATTACCTGACCACTAAGCTAACCAAGAAGAGACTTCAGTAGCTACAATCAACAAAGAATTCAGCTGTTAGTCCAGGAAAGTCACTAAACAAATGAACAGCAACAGCAAAACCAGGGGTGGGTTGGGGAAGTAGACAGGAAATCTGACTTGCAGAGTTGCCACATTATGTTATTTAAAATGTTCTGTTTTCCACAAAAATATATGAGACATGCAAAAAAACAGGGACTTGTCGGGGCATATACTGAAAAAAAAAAAGAAAAGAAAAAAAAAGTCAATAGAAATTTTCCTAGAGAAGCTCAGAAAATGGAGTTACTAGACAAAGACTTTAAATCAGCTTTTATAAATACAGTCATCCCTTTGTATCTGTGGGGGATTAGTTCCAGGACCCCCCGTGGATACCAAAATCTTCAGATGCTCAGGTCCCTAATATAAAATGGTGTAGTATTTGCATGTAACCTATGCACATCCTCCTGTATACTTTAAATCATCTCTAGATTACTTAATACAATGTAAATGCTATGTAAATAGTCATTGTCCTGTTTGTTTAAGGAATAATGACAAGACTCGAAGTGAGCAGTGCTCAGATGATGAGTCCTAGAGATTCTGAGGATCTGTGAAATGGCGATAGGATACAGCAGGGTATGTCTGCACATCCTTTCATTCACGTGGATTCAGCGTAGTGCTCGGTGTGCAGCCAATTCAAGTTTTGCTTTTTGGAACTTTTTTCTTTTCTCAAAATTTTCAATCCGTGGTTGGTTGAATCCACAGATGCAAAACCCATGGATAGGGAGGACTGACTGTATGTTCAAATAAAGGAAACCATGTCTAGACAATTAAAGGAAAGTATGAGAACAATTTTCCACCAAATAGAGAATCTCAATAAAGAGAAATTTAAAAAGAAAAAAGAACCAAATAGAAATTCTGGAGTTAAAAAGTATAGTAACTGAAATGTAAAATTTACCATGAGGCTCAATTGCAGATTTGAGCTGATAGAAAAAAGAATCAAAGAACATGAAGATAGATTAATTGAAATTATCCAATCTGAAGAACAGAAAGAAAAAGAATGAAGAAAAATGAACAGAGCCTCAGAGACCTGGGGGACACCATCAGGCATACCAGCATAAGTATAATGGGAGTGCCAGGAGGAGAAGAGAAAGAAATGGGCAGAAAAATTATTTTAAGAAATAATGATAGGGAATCCCCAAATTTGATTGAAAAAAATGAATCTGCACATACGAAAAGGTCAACAAACTCCATATAGAGTAAAACTCAAAGAAGCCTACACTTAGACACTTCGTAATGAAACTGTCAAAAGCCAAGGACAGAGAATCTTAAAAGCAGCAAGAGAGAAGTGACTAATCATGCACAAAGGATTCTCAGTAAGATTAACAGCTGATTTCTCATTAGAAACCATAGAAGCCAGAAAGCTAGAAGAAAAAGACTAACAAGAATTCTATATCCAGCAAAAACTATTTCTCCAAAATGAAGAAATTAAGACATTCTAGATAAGCCAAAACTGAGGCTTTGTCACTAGCAGACCTACACTACAAGAAATCCTAAAAATAAGTCCTTCAGGCTAAAATAAAAGGACCCCCCCCCCCAAAAAAAAAAAAACAAACCAAACCTGTTGCCATTGAGTCAGTTCCGACTCATAGCGACCCTATATGACAGAGTAGAATTGCCCCATATGGTTTCTAAGGAGCAGCTGGTGGATTTGAACTGCTGTCCTTTTGGTTTGCAGCCGAGCTCTTTACCACTGTGCAACCCTGTCTCCCAAAATAAAAGGACATTAGATAGTAATTCAGACTCATATGTGGCAAATAAACCCATACATCTGGCCAATTAATTTTTGACAAGGATGCCACGTCCATTCAGTGGAGAAAGAATAGTCTCTTCAATGAATGGTGCTGGGTAGTCTCATGGGACATCTCAACAACTGGCATACTATAGTTCATAAGGTTATGTTCTACATCCTAGTTTGGTGAATAATGTCTGGGGTCTTAAAAGCTTGCAAGCAAACATCTAAGATACAACTATTGGTCTCTACTTGTCTGAAGCAAAAGAGAAAGAAGGAAACCAAAGAGTCAGAGAAGATACTAGTCTACAGGACAGATAGTCTACATGAACCACAGCCTCATCTACACTGAGACCAGAAAAACTAGGTGGTGCCTGGCTACCACTACTGAACATTCTAATCAGGGCCACAACCGATGGACCCTGATAGAATGGGAGAAATGTGGAACAGAAACTCAACTTCCTAAAAAACAAAAACCAGAGCTACTGGACTGTTTGAGACTGGAGGACTCCCCGAGACTCGTGCCCTGAGATAACTCTTCAAACCTTGAACTGAAACTAACACCTGAGGTCACCTTGTAGCTAAATAACAAATTGGCTCAAAAAATAATGAATATCACCCATAAGTACTGTACTCCTTTAAAAAAAATCATCTATATGAGTCCAAATGGTCAACAATTACTTTAAAACAAAGGAGGCAGGGAAACTAGATTAATGGAAATGGAGCAACCAGAACCAAAATAATGAAAATGTTCATGCATTGTGAAGAATGTAACCGTGTCACTGAACACCTTGTGTTGAAATTGTTGAATGGGACTCTAAACTGCTGTGTAAACCTTCACTGAAAACACAGTAGAATATTATCTAAAAAAAACAAATGGTGCTGGGACAACTGGATTTCCACATGCCAAAGAGTGAAGTTGGACCCTTGCATCACACCATATGCATAAACTTTCACCCAAAGCACAATAATTTTTTTAAAAAAATAAATTTAAAAAATGAACTCAAAATGGATCAATAACCTAAATATAAGAACTAAAACCATAAAACTCGTAGAAGAAAACATAGGGGTAGAACTTCAAGACCTTATTTTTGACAGTGGATTCTTAGATATGACAACAAAAACACAAGCAACAAAAGCAAATAGATAAACTAGATTCATCAAAATGAAAAGTTTTTGTGCATCAAAGGACTTTATCAAGAAAGTGCTTTACTATATGATCCAGCAATTTTACTCTTAGGTGTTTATCTAAGAGACTCGAAAGCGGGGACTGAGATAGATATATACCAATGTTGACTACAGGATTCACAATATTCAAAAGGTGGAAAAAACCCAAGTATTCATCAGTAAGTGAATGGACAAGCAAAATAATGGTGTATGTATACAATTCAACCATAAAGAGAAATGAAGTTCTGATATGTGCTATACATGGATGAACTTTCAAAAGAGTATGCCAAGTGAAATAAGGCCAAAAGGACAAATATTGTACTCTATGACTTATATAAAATATCTAGACTAGACAGATGCACAGAGACAAAAGTTTATTAGTGATTGCCAATGGCGGAGTGGAGGAAGGAGTGGGAGTTATGGCTGAAGGGGTACTGAGTTTCTGTTTGAGATATGTAAAACTTTTGGAAATAGATAATAGTGATGGTAGTACAACATGGTGGATGTATTTAATTTCATTGGATAGTACACTTAAAAATGATTAAAATGGGAAAATTTTGTTACATATATTTCTCAAAATAACATTAAAAGATTGATCATATACCTAGATATAACAATCATATAAGATCATACACCTAACTAAAAAACTATCAAACAAAAACAGCGGTAAATATTGATGACCTTGGATTTGGCAAAGCATTCATAGATGTGGCACCAAAAGCACAAAAGCAACAAAAGAAAAAAAAATTTTGACTTCATCAAAATTCAACAACACCATCCAGAAAGTTAAAAGGCAACGCACAGAATGGGTAAAAATATTTTCAAGTCATATGTCTGATAAGGGACTTGTACCGAGTATGTATATATGTACAATTCTTAAAACTCATCGATAAAAAGACAACCCAGTTAAAAAGGGAAGGGGCAAAGGATTTGAATAGACAAAGGATTTGAATAGACATTTCTCCAAAGAAGATATACAAATGAATGTTTATATCTAGTTGTGCAAAGATTTCCAAGATACATTGTTAAGTGAAAAAACAAGGAACTTAGCTGTATAGTACGCCACTTTTTGTAAGGAAGGAAATTGAAAATTGCAGTTATATGAGTTTACATTAGGACAGAGTAGAACTGTCCCATAGGGTTTCCAAGGCTGTAAATCTTTATAGAAGCAGACTGCCGCACCTTTCTTCCATGGAGCAGCTGGTGGGTTCAAACCTCTGAACTTTCGGTTAGCAGCCAAGTGCTTTAACCCCTGTACTACCAGGGGTTTTGGTTACAGTATAGACCTACATTTTAGGGAATTCATTTTAGGTCCCGCCGGAAACTTGTAGCTGAAGGAGTGGAACATTTGCCTGAATATCTGGTGCCCTGGGTTCCATGTCTTTACTACTCGGCATGTTACCATAGGACATAGTAGAAAGGAACACTGAAATGGAATTAGATCTGGGCTTATGCCACTTATCAGCTTGATGACCTTAAAGAAAAAACTTAACCTTCTTGGGCCTCAGTTTTTCTAACTGAGCTTTAGTGTCCGCATGTATAATATGAAGAGCTTAGACTAGAGATGATGTAGAAGATCGTTTCTGGCCGTAAAGGTTGCATGTAGGGAATTCTGTTCATAGCAGGGAGCCCTGGTGGTACAATGGTTAAGCGTTTGGCTGCTGATGAAAAGGTCGGCAGTTCAAATCCACCTGCCACTTTTTGGAAACCCTATGGAGTAGTTCTACTCTGTCCTATAGGGTTGCTATGAGTCGGAAGGAATCGACTTGATGGCAACGAGTTTGGGTTTTTGGTTTTGGTTCTTTATAACAGTCTTCTACTTTGTATGATTTTTCTTAAATCAGGAGCTTCATAGAGTTTTTTTGTTTGTTTTTTGCTTAGAAAAATGTAAAGGTGGTAAGTAATTGTTTGTACATGTTTATCTTTCAGAGGCTAAGATGGATCTTGTACTCAGTGCTGCAGATTATTATTTTTTTACACCCTATGCATATCCAGCCACATGGCCAGAGGATGACATCTTCCGACAAGCTATTAGTCTCCTAATTGTGACAAATGTTGGTGCTTATATCCTTTATTTTGTCTTTGCATCACTGAGCTATTATTTTGTCTTTGATCATTCATTGATGAAACATCCACAATTTTTAAAGGTAAATGATTTTCTTCCCTACTTTCTAACTGTTGTTAGAGTAAAAATAACAATGTGATATGTTATGTGAGATTTTCAGATTAAACTGGTTATATATAACCATTAAAGTTTTTAACACCAGCCCCAAATGGATTAGACACTTTCAGTAGGGCTAATCTCTCTCCTTCCCTTTAAAGAAATAAATGAATGCAACTTTATAAAACAAAAACAAACTCCAAGCCTGATACCTATTAGGTACTTAGACATTTCTTTGCTAATAGTGATGAATAAATAAATGGACACATTTATATACTTATTTTAATGTGTGACTTTCACAAACTGAAATATTTTTACTATGTATATTTTATTTGACTAAATAGGAGATTTAAGGTAGATAGTTTTAGAGTTATTTATAATCATTTTTCTATTTCAATTATTTGTATTTGTCAGTTAGTGAAAGGACAGAAAAAAATGAGGGTTGGGGTGAGAATAGAAGTTAATTATGACAGAATCACTCCTGAAATAGAAATTTAGAATACAGATTTTGTGGGAAGGAAAAAAAGTTTCAGAATTTAAAATGTTTATTGCATTTACTTATTACAGAAGAATGTCTTTCTTGCACATGCATTCCCACGTATTAAAATTTTAATAGGAACAATTTGGAGGTAAGCACCCATAAATGAAAACACAGTTTAAAAATCCAATCCAAAACAATTTTATGCTAGTTTTGCTTGATATAGATTTTGTGTTACTAAGTCAATTTTTCTAATTTTAAGTATTGTAAATGTGATTTTCAGAATCAAGTCTATCGAGAAATTAAGTGCACTGTCCAGTCATTACCATGGATTAGTATTCCCACTGTTGCATTGTTCCTGGTAGAGGTGAGAGGTTACAGCAAATTATATGATGACATAGGAGAGTTTCCATATGGTAAGTAAACAATTTGAGTGTTGGGAGGAGGGTGGTCTGAGCACAGGTTGATTTCTTTAAAGAACCAAATCTCCCTCTCTTTTTTCTTCTGTTAAAATAATTATAAATTGTTCAGTTATTTTTATTGTTCTACTTTTTTGGATTCATGTCGTGTCACATATATGCATTTCTTTAGTGTTGTCTATCAATTTTATAGTCTGTTGTAGGTGAGACTATGCCTGAGGGAAGAGTGGAATGATTAGATAGGCCCTTTCATTTGTTTCCTTAATAGGAAATTAAACTTCTAAAACAAATAATTCTGGTAATAAATGATAATTGCTGAAAAATTAGAAAATATCTATTTTTTAAAATTCATTTTCCTGCTACTTGGAAACAATCTTTCCTATGCCTCTGTATGTCATTATTTACATCATAAAAATGAAATCTTACTATGCACACTGGTTTGGACCCTTATTTTTTTTTTTCTCTTACAAATATATATGGCCATATTTTCATGTCAGTTAATATTGACATCATATAGTATATAGTTAATAATATTTCATTGGGTAGATATCCATAATTTATCTAAGGGATTCCTAATTATTAGACTTTAGATTGCCCATTTATCTCTCTCTATTATAAAAGAGTCCTGGGGTGACTAAACTTTTGTGAAATTCTGATATTATTTCATCCAGTTACATTCTTGGTTATCTAGTATATAGAAAGTTTAATACTCATAGTTAACATTTATTGAGTGTTTATTATATGCTAGCTACAGTTCTAAGCTCTTTATATGTGTCAATCCATTTTATTCACATAACAATTGTATGTGGTAGGTACTGTTACATTCATTTTGTTGGTGAATAAATTAGGTGTACAGAGAATTTGTTACTTGCCTAGATTACTCAGTGAACAAGTGGTGAATCTAGGATTTGAACCCAGGTTTGCTGGTACCAGCACCCTTGCTCTCTAAGTAAGGGGTTAGTTATTTAGAGTAGGGAACAAAAATTATACGTTGGAGTGATAAGTTGGCTGGGCCTTGAAGAATAGATAGGATTTGAGTAAAAATAAAGGGACGGAGAGCATTCCAAATAAGTGGAGTGGTATGAGTAAAGGTATGGAGGTAAGACTGTCAAGACGTGTTGGGAGGAGGACATTGAGTAAACCAGCCTGGTTAGGGCATAGGCATGAGAATGATGATGTTGGAAAAATCAGAAATAGTTGGGTTATATAGTAAATGCTAGGCTTTAGGTATTTAGTAGAAAATTTTAAGCAGGAAGATAATGTGTAAAGATATGTTTTAGAAAGATTAATTTGAAGGAAAACTATTAAATAGCATTATTCTCAGAAGGAACCCTGGTGGTACAGTGGTTAAGTGCTCAGCTGCAAACCAGAAGGTCAGGGGTTCGAACCCACTAGCCACTTTGCGGGAGAAAGATGTGGCAATCTGCTCCTGTAAAGATTTACAGCCTTGGAAACCCTATGGGACAGTTGTCCTCTGTCCTATAGGGTTGCTATGAGCCGGAATTGACTTGACAACAATGGCTTTGGTTTTGGTTTGGATTCTTCACAGAGATTTAAAAAATAAAGATGCCTCAGCAATGTCCTTTTTCTGTCATAGATATATAGATATAAAACAATTGCCATTGAATTGACTCAATGTGTGTCTAAGTGGAACTGTCCTCCATAAAGTTTTCAATGGCTGATTTTTTGGAAGTGGATTGCCAGGGCTTTCTTCCAAGGCACCTCTTGTTGGACTCAAACTTGCAACCTTTTGTTTGGCAGCCGAGCACGTTAATTGTTTGCACTACCCAGAAATTCCCTCACATTATGGTTCTAGTTTAATTAAGAAATATTTTAGGTGAGACATTTCATAAGACATTATGAAGACATTTCATAAGACATCTCAAGTTCTTATGAGAGGGAACTAAGGAAATACTTTGGAACAAGTTCCAAGGAGTCAAGAGAGATTACAGTTTATAGTGTTTGAATCTAGATCACATTTTGCGTTTAGATGAGCATGTGAAAGTTGAAGTCTGGCCCTGGAAGCCAAATCTTAATTATGTTGTTCTCCGTTGTCTCTTCTAGGTTGGATTCAGCTCATCTTTAGTATAATATCTTTCCTCTTTTTCACTGACATGTTGATCTACTGGATTCACAGAAGCCTTCACCATCGACTTGTATATAAGGTAGAGTCATTTGTAGGAGAAAGAAAAAAATTACACCTTACAACAATGTATGATTATAAATTCTGTTATCTATTTCTAAGAAACCCTGGTGGTGTAGTGTTTAAGAGCTACAGCTGCTAACCAAAAGGTTGGCAGTTCAAATCCACCAGGTGCTCCTCGGAAACCCTATGGGGCAGTTCTACTCTGTCCTGTAGGGTCGCTATGAGTCAGAATCGACTTGAAGGCAGTGAGTTATAGTTAGTTATTTCTAAGAATTTTGTCTATGTTAAATACCTAAGTAGCCATAGTCATGGCAGGTACCAGGGACATTTTGTTCATATTCTTTTTGAGTCTGGAGGGGCTGTGTTAAAATTTTTACTGTTTTAAGGCGAAGAAGAAGGGCATTTTATAAAATGATTTTGCCCATTTCAAAGGAAAATTTCAGTTTGGTCATTTCCATAACATAAGTATGAAAAGCTAAATTGAATATTGCTCTGGATGATATATGTGGTGCTGATGATGTCCTTTTCTTCTGTAGCACATACACAAACCTCATCATATTTGGAAGATTACTACTCCATTTGCAAGTCATGCTTTTCACCCTGTGGATGGTTTCCTTCAGAGTCTGCCTTACCATATATACCCTTTTCTCTTTCCCTTACACAAGGTGGTTTATTTAACTTTGTACATCATGGTCAATATCTGGTCAATTTCCATTCATGATGGTGATTTTCATGTTCCCAAAATCTTAAGACCATTTATTAATGGCTCAGCTCACCATACAGACCATCACCTATTCTTTGACTATAACTATGGACAGTATTTCACATTGTGGGATAGAATTGGAGGCTCATTCAAAAATCCTTCTTCTTTTGAAGGGGAGGGACCGCTTAGTTATGTGAAAAAGATGACAGAAGAAAAATGCAACAGCCATGTAGGAAATGGTTGTAAAAATGAAAAATTATTCAATGGAGAGTGTACAAAGATTGAGTAGATTGTTGCCCAATTGTTCTTAAGTATTTTTAATAAGTAAAAAATAGTCTACATACAGCAAAAAGTCATAGCAAGTAAATGGTATCATTTGAAAATCAGCATTGTAGGTACTGCTGAGGAATGATCATAGTGGTAGATCCAAGGAAGATGCTGTGAGCGCCAAGATTTTAACTTCATGCTTAAAATGCCAGGTGTTGGTGTAAGGGACAACTTGGGTCTCTCTAGCCAGCAGATCTATAGTTCATCTACCTGCAATGTCAATTTTTAGAAAGATAGTTATTGAGAGGACTAGGCTATGTCTTTTTGCCTTAATCCACCCACGTGCTGGGAAACATCCATTATGCTTAATAATACCGAGACTAAGAACCATAACAAAGAAATACTTTGTTTCTGGAATGGTTAAGTCTTGGGTGTTGGGATGAAGATAACGACTTGTACTTTGTTCAAGTGGAAACATTAATGTGAAAAAAAAATACTGATGTAACATATTAGCAGTTATGTAAATGACCTAATTAATAACGGGTATAATAAGATTATCATCTTCCTACACATGGGAAGCTTATTCTCTGGGAACATTATCAAATATTTAACCTTTTAAATTAAATTGATGCACTGCACTTTTGATATGTTTCAAAGTCACAAGCGTATACTTTTCTCTAAAAGGAAATAATTGCCGAATATTTAGGCCAGTCACTGAAGATTAGTTTTGAAATCTTACTCTCCCTCTTCTCCCCTCTCTTCCCTGTTTTCTCTGCAAAAAAATCAACAGATACGTTCATAAAGAAATGAGCATTGTAATATATTAGGAAAACATGGTTTACAAAGGCATTCTATAAGCCATTTATGTAAAATCAATAAAAGTTGGTAATGGTTATTATTAAACTGTATCAGTTAAAAATATTGTAATATCACAGAGTTTTCTTTATACAAATTTTGCGTCAGTTTGAAAGCACAGGAATGATGTGGTCTGTCAAAACTGTATTAGAATGTCTCCAGATGCTCAGTGTCAAGGGGAAAAATAGAGATGGAGTGTCACTGTCTTTTTATACTTCACGTGTTTATTAAATTTAGGTGTTTTGCAAGAGACTGGTCATAAAATTTAATGCCTAGGATCCAGAAGAAGTTTCTTTTCCCCCCCTCTCTTTGAATTACTGTTATACCGTCATTTTACTTCAGTGTACCAATATGCCAATTGATATTTTGTAGTAGGTAAATGAGTGCTTCTCACTAATACCCCCTCTCCCCACCCAGTACTCCGCTTTGCCTAAGAAAAGAAGGAAATTAAGGAGAAGCAAACTTTGTTTCTGAATAATAATGACATCTAATGAGTCGGAGTAAACCTGATGGCATACAACAACAACAGTATTTATTGAGCTTTTATTGTTGGTCAGGCACTGTTACAAGTCCTTGATGTGAGGAAACTGGGACCCAGAGAAGTTAAGTAGCTTTCCCAAGGTTTATTTGTCGCTCATATAAAGTCCAGTGTGAATGTTTCTGGTCAGTGAGCAGCTTTCTACATAGTCATTCTGAAACCCAGGCTCCTTACAGCTTGTGGCTCTACCTTTCTCTCAGCCCATAAGCCCTTATTGTTGAGGGAGCAGATAGAGAAAGAGGGCAGAATTTGCACATGGGAAATTTCTTATGTGCCAGGCTTAAAAGTAGGGCATATGTCTTCTGCCCACCGTCCTTTGGACAAATCTTGGTCTGTAGCCACCTTACCGAAAGAGATTCTGGGAAGTATAGCTAGCTGTGTGCCTGGGAGGAAAGGGAAACCAGTTTCGTAAACAGCCAGCCAATTTGCCGTATCCAAGCAATTTATTCCTGTCTTTATGAGGGTCCCAAGGATATAAAGGCATTGAAAAGACGTTTGAGCTTAGAAATATTTCAAGTTATCCATGCACTGATTATCTTAGTGTAATTCCATAACTCCAATGGTGTTAGTCTCCAGATTCTTACTTTTGTGTAGCTTATAGAGAAGAAAGGACATAATTTATGGGTAGAGAGAGGCTTCCTAAAAGGTGTTAGAAGTAATCAAACTAGTCTTTTTCCTCCCACTCTTCTCAAATTCTGGTCTTATTAAGCAGTATAGTCCTAATATTTTTTTAAACGCTACTACCACATTCTCCTATTCCCCATTAGAGGAATTCAGAGGTTCTTCCCACAGGAATATTAAATGAAAAATACTTTTCTATTGACTTTAAAATCTTTTATAGTATAAGGTAGGAAGGGAAAGTCAAGACTACATTTTCCACTTTTATGGTAGAAGTTGGGAAGTGACTAAAGATGCTGAGATAACACATTTCAAAAACGCAGAAAGTTCCAAAAACTTTGTTGAGTCCTCATCTTCGTCTCTGTCTCTGAATGCTGTGCATTTCCAACTCCTCATCCCTCATGATTCATTTTTCCTTCCATCTTGAAGACAGAGGCAAACTTGGGAGAGAAATCATGAGTTCAGTTTTTGATACAAGGAGTTTAGTGCAAGCAGATTACTTACACAGAGATGGTGTCTGGGAGGAAGATGGAAACTAGGGAGAAAAATCAGAACACAAAGAGATTTGGGATTAATCCAGATAGAAGAGATGCTTAAAGCCATGAGGTTGCCAAGGCCAGCATGAAAAAAGATAATCTAAAGAAACAAACCAGCTGCTAGGGAAAAGAACTTCCTTTCCAGTTTTACCACCTTGTTCAAACTCACAAAACACGTGTCTGGCAGTCTTAACTCAGCACTTAGGCTTTCTATCATCTATTATAGTTATGTGTATCTTATTTATTCTAAACCCTAAATGCCTTGAATGTAAAGGCCATCTGAATCATTGTATTAAACCATGCATCCTTACAGAATCCCAAGCATGGCTGTGGTTTGATAAATACTAGCTTAATGTTCTTCTCTTCGATGAATATTTAATGAACCTTGCTAGGTACAAGTATTTAATCTGCAGACTCAGACTTTTTAGCAAACAGTTTGTTTTTCATTTATTCATTTAGCAGAAATTCGTTGAATACCTTGGGAGAGGCAAAGTGGGAAATAAAGAGGAATCAAAGAGGGTCCCTATATCAAGGATAGGCTGTATTCCTTTTTGTCATCCGAAGTCATAACTGTCCACTGGAAACAAGTAAAACCTACCAGTGCTCAGTATTCTGGCCAAATATGAACCAGTGAAACAAGTACTCATTAGAGGGCTGGACGAATCTGTATACTCCACACTTAACACACTGTGCGCACAAAAGAAGACCCTCAAAAATACTAGTTGATTGAACCATGAAAAGGGCAAATTTAGTAAGACTTCCGTAACTTTAACTGGAGGATAATTTTCCACCGCAGAGAAATTGTAGTGGCTAGGAGCTTTGGAATTAAATAGATGATTTTGAATCCTGGCTCTGCTATTTGTAGATTGCATGATCCTTGGTTTCTCCATCTGTAAATTGATGAAACTAGGCCTACCTCATAGGCTCAAGTAAGTTGTTATTTGCTATCATGTTGGCTCTGACTCATAGTAACATTAGGTGTAATAGAATAAATCATTGCCCTGTCTTGCACCATCTTTAAATAAGTTAGGAGCACTCAGATGTCAGCTGAGGTTGGTATTCATGTAAACTGTGCTTAATGCCTCCTCTTCTTATGTTCTGTGGTTGTTGTCTTTACACCTAGGATGGGCTCTCAGTAGAAAGCAACTGGAGGAGAAAAAAAGCCTAGATACTTTCACCTTAAAATTGGATGGTGAAAGACATGAGGTTAACTAGGGCGAGGGGGTCCAGAGGAAAATCATATAAGTAAAACTAAAATTAATACATTATTTACTACAAAATGTCTTTATAAGGGTTGTAAATAAAAGTAGAATAAGTTAAATTTATTAAGAAAAACAAGAAGGAAGTGTGCCAATGATTTTGTCCACAAGCTTTACTATCACAGAGGGATTTTGGTATAAAAAATACTTACTAATACTTGCTTTAGTCCATATTTGCTTTATGAAAATAATAAAACAGTTTTTCTTAACTCTCTAAGCCCAACTTGGAGATCATGTTTTTCCATTATAAGTATGGTGAAATATGTATAAAAATAAGAATAATTACATTTTCATTTCTTCGACTAACAATTAACTCAAATTCGGCATCAGATTTTCCTAAACATTTAGCACCTTTTATATATTTTGTCAATCACATTTTCTTAAACATTTGATCAGAGATTTAATATATTTGATTATCTTATTATCTCAAATACCTCAACTGCCCAAAAGGCAGACTTTCATACTCAACAGATTTTTCTAAGCACTTTGACCACTCATGATTTGAATAAACTATACTTAAACATACATAAAAGAGCATAATGATATTAACTTGTTAGTCACTCAAAAAATTCATTATAGACTTTTATTCACTTCTTGCACCATTTCTTTATGCATTGTCTTCTTCCATCTTAAGATTACAGTTTTGTTCACTTAGCCATTTATGTAGGTGAAAAGTTGGCCCCCTTATATGTGGTCCAAACAAAGAAAAAGCGATCTAGGACCTTTGTGCATATTCCAAGTATTAAGACAGTGACTTTTGTAGTGGCTTTTGTCTGTCACTTCATTAGGATTTTTTTTAAACTAACTGTACGATTTACATACAATCAAATAATACACCCATTTTAATTGTACAGTTCAGTGTACTTTGACAAATGTGTACACCCATATAACCATCACCCCCAATCAAGATGTGGAACATTTTCTTCACTAGAAAAAGTTTCGTCTCCCTTTTCATTCAGTCTCTCTGCAACTCTAGTCCTAGGTAATCACTGATATATTTTCTGTTACTGGAGGTGAATTTTGCCTGTTATAGAATTTCACATCAGTGGAATCATAGTATGTACTCTTTTGTGTTTAGTTTTTTTAGCTTAATGTGTTTTAAAATTCATTCATGTTGTTAAATGTATCTAGAGCTTGTTCCTTTTTATTGCTGAATAGTGTCCCATTATAGCATACCACCATTTGTTTATCCATGTATCTTTTGATGGATATTTGAGTTAATTGCTTTTCGTTGTTGTTGTTATTGTGAATAAATCTGCTACAAACATTTGTGTAAAAGTCTTTGGAACTATGTTTTCATTTCTCTTTGGTAAATACCTATCAGTAGAATTGGTGGGTCATAAAGTGGATATATGTTTAATTTTATAAGAAATCATCAAACTTTTCCAAAGTGGTTATATCATTTTACATTTGTACTAGCAATGATGAGTGATCCAGTTGCTCCACATCCTCACCAACATTTAGTATAGTCAGTCTTTATTTTAACCATTCTAGTGAGTGTGAAATAGTTTCTCATTGTGGCTTAATTTGCATGTTTCTTATGGCTAATGATGTTTAAGCACTTTTTCACATACCTTTTGGCTGTTTTTATATTTTATTTTGTGAAGTATCTGTTCAAGTCTTTTAACCATTTAAAAAATTGGGTTGTTTTTATTATTGATATGTAGGAATTCTTTATATATTATGAATAAAAAGTCCCTTGTCCTGAAGGAAGGGGAAAGGAAAGGGTTAATGGTGAGGGAAAAATCTCATTGATTAAATTGCACAACAGATTATTATAATTTCTGTTAATAAGTTGTACACCTGTAAAAAGTTGAATTGCAAAAGTCATGTGATAAATATATTTACAACGACAAAAAAAAGAGTAGCAACGGAGGCTGCTTTTGTACAACCAAACACCTCATGGGATGTGGTCCTTTGCTTTGGACATTTAGGGTCATGGTTTCATGGGACATCCCACTTAACTGGCCTAATAACATGTTTAGTGCTTCTGTTCTGTCTAGTTTGTTTCATAGTGCCTGGGGTCTTAAAAGCCTGCAAGTGGCCATCCAGGGCACAACAATTGGCATCTATTCACCTGGAGCAACAGAGGAATAAGGAGAGTAATGAATAGGA